GGCGCTGTAGGCGGGCAGTCGCCGTCCGCGCCGGGGCTCGCCAAGCGGCCGGGCCCACCCCGGGAAGCCAAGACCCGCGCTGGGTGCAGCCCGCACCTGGGGGACGCGCACTGTCAGCCCCGGCCCCGGGCCGAAGCGGAATTCTGGCGCGCCCGGCCCCGGCCCCGGCCCCGGCCCCGGCTCGCACATGGAGCCGGTCGCGCCGAGCCGCGCCGCGCAGGCGGAAGGCAGTGGAGGCGCCGCCCCTCGGCCGCGGCGCGGGGGCAGTCCGAGTCGCCCTCCCGGGAGCGGGGCCGCAGGATCAGGCTTTTCCAGGGGCCCTGAGCGGGCTAGAAACCGGCTCCAGACTCTCGCATGTTTTCAAGCACTAACTTGGGAGCTGCCGGGCTCTTGCTAGCGCTGGCCGGGCGTTTTCCCAGGGGATCATGGCTTTGCACACGGGGGCTGTGTCAGTGTGTTGAAGGCCTGGCAGTGAAGTGCCTGGGTGATCGTGGCTCTGCATGCTGGCCCGTCTGCATGGACTGCACAGTGGGCCAGCGGATTGCGTGACCCACGTACGGTGCAGCAGGGGCTTTCTGGTCCCTGCTGCACAGTCTGGTCTCAGACTTGAGGGTTCATGGCCACGCTCCCTTTCTTGAGTAGCAAGGGAGAGGTAGATGGTTTTCTTACCTGTAGATGTAGGTGTTATAACATGGGATATTGGAGAAAAGGAAGGTGGAGAACCGATGCAGTGACTCTGTGCGGGAGATGAAAGGCGGTCTGTTCTCTTTGGCATTTAAACTCATGCTTGAGCGGCAACCTTGGCGGACCACACTTTTCAGTATTGTGGGGCCCACAATTGGCTTTGAATGTATTTAAATTTGTGCTGCCATCAGTGACAACCTGGGCAGACCAAAATTTTTCTTATCATGTGGCCCACAATGATCTTTGAATTTATTTTCCTATAAAATGATTCAATCTCTCAAGCTTCTGCCTGGAGCCTCCGGCTCTTGGCCTCTTCCCTCAGGAACTGCAGTGACTTCCCTCATCCCATCCTACTAAAACGGTTGTTTGCAAACTTTTTAAACCAGAGGCACCCCTCAGAAAAGGCTGGGTTGTGGTTTTTCATTCATTTCTTGACTACAGGAAAATAATCGAGCAATTCTTCTATTGCAGAGACTTCTGAAAATCCACAGCCGGTCAGAACATTTTTGACATGATGGATTCCCACTTGAAATTTCTGCCTTTATCTTGTCCGGCACCCTGCTTGGGAATTGCAGGATTAAATGCCTTAAATTCCCAAATCCAGCATGGGGGTGTTTCGTGCAAAGAAATGTTACGCTGCTGCAGTGGTTCTCAACCTTTGTAGACTCGAGGTCCCCCTCAGAAAATGCCAGCTCTTAGTCTTCACCAGGGATCCTGGTTTTCTCGGATTTAAAAAAAATCCCCAATTTTCAGCTTAAAAAAGTAACCCCAAATCCACATTTTTTGCAGATTAAAATGAAACCCCATGAACATATATTAATATGTGTTTCATATATTAAACATATTAATATATTAAAAAGAAACACCAATTATACACACACACACACACACACACACACACAATGATGTTTTATTTTAATCACAGAAATATGTGGATTTGGGGTTACTTTTTTAAGCTGAAAATCGGGGATTTCTTTAAATCTGAGAAAACTAGGATACCTGGTCTTCTCTCATTTCTTGACTACGGAAAAAAACAGTTTTTCTGCTGCAAAGAACTCACCCAACTATGGATTTCTATGTGAAATCTCTGATTATTTGTAACCCTAACATTGTGTGACACCCCACATCCTCCTTGAAAGGCTCTCCAGGCACCCCAGGACGTGATTGTGACTCGCTCTACGGGGTTAGGACAACATGGAATTGGGGGCAGCCCCCGGGTTCATATCTTGCCTGTTGGGATGAAAGGACCTGGCAGGTAGGGCTGTGTGAAATGGCACCGTTCCATTTTGCCTTGAGTTTCGAGGTTTCGGCGGAACGGTGTTTCATATCAAATTTCATTTTGATTTGAAACAGCTGTTCCATTTTGCCTCGTCGAAACAGGCTGTTTCGACATTTCGCTAGATCGTCTGGGGACGGGGAGTCAGCCCAGCTGGACTGACTTCCCATCCCCAGTGCTATGGTCAAAACATTTTGACTTTTGAAACATTTCGACTAGCCTCCTTTTTGTTTCAAGGCTGTTTCGAGAGCCTTTGTTTTGTTTCGATTGTGCTGTTTTGACCTCGAAATGAGTCAAAAGTGTCGAAATGAAATGGCCGGCGAAATTTCGCACAGCCCTACTGGCAGGGCCCTTCCCCTCCTACATCACGCTGCCTTCCTTTTTTTGCAAAAAGCTTTTTTGGGGGGCAATTTCCTAGTTATCTGCATGTGGCAAATTGAGGCTGTGTGGGGGAGCTGGTGGAAGTAAAAGGAGGGATTACAAGTATGGGTGAATCCCAGGAGGTGTGGGTAAGGTATCCAAGTTGTAGCTGTATTGGTCTAGATCAGGGGTGGGCAATTATTTCGGGTGGAGGGCGCTTACTGAGTTTTGGCAGGCCATCCAGGGCCACATGACAGGCAGGCCAGAGCAGATTAATATTCATTTTCTAAATTTTGGGGAGGCCCCGCGGGCTGGATAGAATGGCCTAGCAGGCCGCATTCGGCCCATGGGTCACATTTTGCCCACCCCTGGTCTAGAGGAAAAGGCAATCAGGACTCTAGAATCTTTTATAGGACCAAGATTTTTGTACCAAAAAAAATGTTCTTTAATTGCAAGCTTTGGGGCACAAACACCCTTCATCAGGCATGGGAGAGGAGATTGTAACAGTTCCCCTGGGTACAAACGAAGGACACGCCCGTGTGACACAAGTGACCTGGGCTCCACCTCCCAGGGGCACGTGCGGGAGGAAGGGCGCCCAGGCCCCGCCCCTTCCCCTCAAGTGCCCTTCTCAAGATGGCGGCCAGTCCGCCACATCCCGGCGGCCAATCCTCGCTGTGCGGACGTGACGGAAGGAGCGGAGAGCACCAATGGGGTGGCGGAGGCGCGTTCGCTGGGCGGGAGGAGGCCGGGTCCGCGGCGGGGGTGAAATTTCTCGAAGCGGCGGCGGCGGCGGGGCCCGAGCATGAACCACAAGAGCAAGAAGCGAATCCGCGAGGCGAAGCGCAGCGCCCGGCCCGAGCTCAAGGACTCCCTGGACTGGACGCGCCACAACTACTGCGAGACCTTCCCGCTCAGCCCGGCCGCCTGCAAGGTACTGGCGGGGGCGCGGCGCGGCGCGGGGGGCGCGGGGCTGAGCAGGGGG